GTGCATGTATGTGTGTTAGTTTTGTCTTAGTTTTTATATGGAATATTTCCATAGCAGAGTTTGTATTAAATAAGGGGAAAAAAAAAATTCCCCACCCCCAACCCCTGACAAAAGTCGTTCCACCACAAACGACTAGGGGTGCTGTGTTTAGGGATTTGATTTCTTCTTAGAGGATTATGCTACTTTCAAACATTAGGTGTAAACCTTGAATTTAGACTGTCAGCATCTAATAAAGATTATGGCTCTACCTGCTGTAGAAACTAGCAAATTATTTGTAGAGTGAAAAAGTAGTGAAGATCCAATGTTGACAGCAGATGTGCTTCAGGGATTTTTTTTTTTTTCCTCTTTTACTCTAGTCTTAGTCCTCTTTCCTCTAGTCTTAGTCTTGTGCTATGCATTCCAGACCCTTCAGTAGATGGAATGCAGTAGGCACAGTCCTGGAGTTCAACTTCTGATTTAGTTTCATTTGAAAGGGAACAGTTCAAATGTTCCAAGACAGCTCCGTGATACAAATCAAAGCACAGTAAATGCAGGAAATTTGGAGATTTGCTTCAAAACTGCATGCCTAATCCAAGGTAAAACACTAACATAGATTTACCTTTCTGTAGATACTTGGGACATCTGTAGATACTTGGGACATCTGTAGATTACAGTCTCTGACTTCAGCTAAGAATGAGATATTTTAATGCATTTGTTTTACAAAATATTTCTAAAATGGGAAAAGTTAAAGCATTTTGGACTTGATTTGAAATGTCTCTTGCATAGCTGAGTACAGTCAAGAAAATACTGAGAGATGCTTGTACATATTTATTTGGAAGTTGTTTTCTTGGGGGGGTCTTATTTTGATCTAAACCAGTGATTTGGATAGTGGTTTTTTAAAACACTGAAAATTGAGCTTTGAAAAAATTTATTTAAAGTCAGCCTTTAAAATGTCAGTTCCCCATACTTTTTACAGTCATATATGACATTGTTATCTTTAAAATAATCAGTCGTTGCAGCATGATTGTTCTAATAAAAGAACAAACTTAATATTACTTTTTACTGCTCTGTGTTTTCAGATAGCTATATTAAGGTTAAATTTATTGGAATTAATTAAAAGGTCATATCAAAAAATCTAGGTAAAATCTAGAAAATACATTCTTATCGTTACTTTGCTATGCTCTTAAGAACAGCATTTGTCAGTGAAGAGGGATTCTGTGAAATGTAATGTATAGTTGAAACTTACCAAGATGCAAAATTATTATTTTCCTTATAGTTTTATAATTCTTGGCTGTAAGAGAACCAAAATGGGGCTGGTCATAGTCTACTAGAGAAATATATAGAGGAGAGCTTAGAATAATGCTGCCAGTTTGCATTTTTCATGCAGCCTTTGAATCATAGAACCGTTTTGGTTGGAAGAGACCTTTAAGATCATCAAGTCCAACCGTAAACCTAACATTGCCAAGTCCACCACTAAACCATGTCCCTAAGCACCGCATCTACACGTCTTTTAAATACCTCCAGGGACGTGACTCAACCACTTCCCTGAGCAGCCTGTTCCAATGCTTGACAACCCTTTCGTTGAATGAAGCATTTCACATACAACTTAGCAAAAGCAGAACTGTGATGTATGAATTAAGAAAACTTGCTCAAATAAAAGATTCTGTCCCTAGATTAATTATTTATATTGGGAGTGGGGGAAAGGAAAAGAAGTTGAGGTTAAGAAAGAATGAGTTACATCAAAGGAATGAATCCCACAATCCCACTGAATGTTAGATTTCCATCATGAGTATGTGTTGTATTCCTTGCTAGATTTATGCCTTTTGGAAATAAGCTTTCTAAAAATTAAGAAGGGGTTATGGAATAGCAACAGTAGTAGCAAAGGGGAGACTAATCTCACATCAAAAATCCCCAAGCAATCTGTGCTTGCTAGAACAGAGCAAGAAGTGCTAACCTGAGAGCATTTGATATTGCGCTTATAATCATGTGAAAGATCTTTGTAAAATTTCATTAGGGATCTAAATTTTCAAGTTTTTTAAGCAGAAATGTAGGATCTACAGTCTAAATGGAATTTGAACAGAAATTTGAAATTTTTAGATGGGTCAAATTAGAAAAAAAAATATCAAACTGACAGTGTCCTTTTAATTAGAACACATATTGTGAAATGTTACTTTGTAGAGATTAATTATAAATATTTAATAAGATCTGGAAGTTCACCAAGCACTCTTGCAAGACTTATGCTACCTTGTGAAAACAAACCAAAAACATCTTAATGATATATCTGCCTTACCAGATATTTTCTGTCAATATTAATAGGTTGTTTCAGTGAATGTAATAATTTTGATTTGGCATCTATGCATTCTAACTATAACCGAGAAGCTTGAATTAACCATATTCAGAGTACAATGAGGATGTTGTTTAATTATTTTCCTTATTCTTTAATGACCATGTCAGTATCTACAAATATGAAATAAACTAGAAGTAGTAATAAAATAGAATTAATATTTGCAAATATATCACTAGATACTTTGAATTTTATCAAGGATTTATACTAAATCCAAACAGCATGAAGGTTTTTTTTTTGTAAGGTACACACCTAAAAGCAAAACCAAAATCCGTCCTGATTTTTTATTATCTTTAGCATTGATGAAACTGTCTTATAGACTTACACCTATGTTCCTTAGGCTCCCACCCTAGTAAATTAGGTATTTATTATTTTATTATTATTTTGGCTTCAATTAAGCATATGATGATGGAACTTTCCAAATACGAACTTTCTGGTGGGCAAATGATTTTGAGAAGAAATTGCACTATCCGCAAAGAGTCTTTATTTTTTTAACTTCTGTCCTGTACTAACAGGGAGTAAGTCATCACAACTGAGGGGGTACAAGAAGGTTTTTTGTTTTGGGGTTGTTTTTTGTTGAGGGTTTTTTCAGTGTCTTGGACCAGAAATCAGAGAGCCCTTGACAAGCTCTTAACATATGGCAAAGAATGTCCTTGTCACTTCTGTCACATTTACACTAATACAACTGAAATTACCATCTTGAATTTATCTGGTGTATACATCTGGATAGATGTTGCACAGCAAAGCAATACCAGAAATTAAAAGTTTGCATAATTCATCACAAATAGAAATCTTAGTTTATTTATTTTCAGAACTGTGTTATGAAATTTGATATACCAAATGGAATTTCTTTTTTTTTAAATTTCTTTTTTCCCAAGTTCTGTTTTGATGAAGAAATATGTTGCTATGAAATTTGAGATGATGGGAAGAAGGAAATGCTTAAGAATGATATGCAGGTGTTGAGGGACCAGATTAAGAAAGAAGAGGAAATAAATCCTCACAGAGCTTGTCTCTCATCTTATGAAAAAAATGTTCAGCATCTTCATTTACCAATTTTTCTGTGTCTGGCTTTGGGAAATTGCTCTGCCTTTTATAAATGGAAACTGAGGCACCAACAGTAGAGTCCAGATTTTGGTAACATTTATGTGCAAAGACTAATTTACAGACATGAGTAATAGTATGTTCAAGATCTTTCCATGATGTCACATGAAAAACTTTAAACAGTCCATGAAAAAACAAGACAATCAAACATGGTCAGCCTTACCTTACAACCCCAGAGCCTCCTTTAAATCAGTCATACAGTACTTAGTAGAGTAACATAATGGCAAAATATACAGGAATAATTGTAGAAATGATAATAGAAAATAGAATTTAAAATAGATAAAGCAACTCTGATAAATGCTTGAAAGAGTATGAATGGAAGTGACAGTGTGATTGGATACAGTAAATACTTCAGGTCTTCAGAGTTTTCTGTGCAATTAGTAGTCTTTAACATTTGTTGTCTGGAAACTGGATATGGCATTGTTGATTTACCAAGAATTGGAAAAATAAGGCTTTTTATGTTGTCACAGAAGAATCTATCTAAATCTTAGTTAGAGGTCAATCTGTATTATCATGTTAGATGTTGGAATTAATGATACATCGGGACCTGAGGAGCTGTAAATATGGACTATAGTAAGTGGTCACTCACTTAATAACAAAGGCTTCTATCTTGCAGAAGCAAGCAAGCTAGCAAAAAAATGCACTTTTTGGTAAGCTCTGTGCCATAATTTGTATATCCAGAGGGAAAGGCCTGGGAGGAAGCTGGTTATATCAGAATAAAAAGAAAGGAAATCAAGCAGGCAGATGGTTGACTGGAGTTTCAGAAAAGGGGAAGCAGAAAGGCACCTAGTCCAGTAGTCTTACATGCCTGAAAATTTTAAAGAACTTTTGTCATGTCTGTGAAAGTTATGGGTTTGTCCATGAATCCATCCCTGGAGAACTATTAAAATTTTACAGTTCAAAGATCCAGACTTCTAAAACAATTTGTGTACAAGCATTACTGAAATACTGAAAGAACTTGTTGCAATCTCGGATACCTTGTGATTTTTTTGCACAGTTGATGACGTGTCAAAAGAATTGTGAAGTGGTCATTGTCCCTTATACATTTTGATCTGACATTTTTAAGTTTTACTTAAGAGGTGGGCAGATGGCAACTAGCATTATGGTTGTTATTGTTACCTCTCAGAAGTTAAGAAGGCTGTTCCAGCCTGAAAATTATTTTCAGGGGCTTATCCACTGTGCATGGTATTTATTTCATTTATATGTGAAAGAAAACTGAGACACAACTTGGCTGATGCTTCACTGTTGTTGGAAGTAGGTGTTATAAATCATAGTGCCACATATTTTTATTGCACTTCTATGATTTTTTATGTATTCCATTTAAGTGCCCAAGTGATTAGGCAATCTGCACTTTTTTTTTTAACCTCACTAAAACTATAAAGAAAAAAAATCCCATGCAATAGCTTCCTCAGAAGAGTGAAATTAACCCTAGAAAACCTAGTAACTGTGGCTACAGCACTCTGTAATGTTACTGGAGAATTGAATTCAAAGGCTTATTCCAAACAGGTAAGGTAGAAAGAGGGGAAAAATAAACACAAGATCTCCTGAGCAAGTCAGAGCTTTGGTAAAACAAGAACATATGCCAAACTCATCATCTGCAAAACATACCTTCTCCATCTCTTATTTTACAGAAGTCCTACAGGGTTGGAGTCTAAATGAGAGTTAGATGGAGTAGATGTCTGATTTGAAAATAACTTTGAATTTTAATCCTGGAGAATTTAAGTGTGAATAATTTTATAGAGCGACGTGATTGTCAGAATGATTGCATATGCTTTGATTTTGTAGGACTTAGTGTGGCTTAAGCTTCACCAAAAAAAGCATAAATGAAAGAGGAGTTGAGTAGAAATGTATCTTACGCTGCCTGACAACATCTGTGCTAGTGTTTGAGATCTCGGTTTTGTCCCATTGCTGGAATCTGGCATTTAGAATGGTAGATCTTGTGTTCTTTGCCAGTCAGGGTGTTTGCTAGTCACTTTGCCATTGCAAAGCAACAGTAGTATCTTTTCTTAGAATGCTGTTTGGCATACAGTGTTTGTAAACCATCTGTTATGGCTATACTTAGTTTGTAAAATATGTTGCATCCATTTAAGGTATGTGGAGTGTTACGATGGAACTCCATAAGACACTCTTCATTTCTATTCTGGCCTCCTCAGTCACTTAGAGTGTTTTAGCTTTTTTTTTTTTTTTTTTTTTTTTTTTTTCTGCTAATAAAACCTGACTTTTGAGTTTAAAAGCTCTTTGGTCTTTGGGGAGTTCACAAGAGACAGATATGGTTCAAAGCTCTGCTAACATGTGGTCTTGATAGATAGTCAAATGCTGTAGTGAGGGTGCTGAAGAAAAGCCGTGGGGAAATTAAGGTTGCTGTCTTCAGAGCAGGGCTAAGATACACTGGAATAGATACTGCCTAGAAGCCATATTTATTTGGCTAATGAAGCTAAATGGAGTGAAAGCATACTGTCCGTTTGGGTACAGATCGGGATCTTGTAGGAAGGGAAAAATAGCATGTGATTAACTATCCTATTATAGTCAACACTTACAGGGCAACATAAATAAGCACGGTTGGGTGATACACATAATGGAGTTTTTCAAAGACAAGACAGCATTTCAAAATGCCTGAGAAGGTAGCATTCTGATCTTGATATCACTTCAGCAGACTTTTAAATCTGTGCACTGTTAATGATGTATGTATATTATAGAAGCAGATGGATAATATGTATATTATAGATGTGTATGTACACTGGTTATTGCAACTGAACTTCGACTGATGGATGTGAAATGGGAACTCCTACACAGGTTAAGAAAGTTTAAAAATGAGTAAATTCTGTATAATATAACATTAAAAAAAAAAGGATGCCACCCAGAGGCAAGCAGTGGGATATTTTAGAAGTGTTGAAGTAGAAGGTTCTAGTTGATCATGATTTATTGAAAGTCTTAAAGTATTGTCACCATTGCCTTCTGAAGTATTTCTTTGAATATTTGTTGACCGTTTCTTCAGAGGCACTATCCTCAGATTCTTAGTGGCTAGTAAGTAACATAGTAAGGCACATATAAGTAGTAAGCAAGTAAGGCACATAAAGGCTTAAACCAAAGTCACTGGTCATCTTTCCATAAGTGTGCTGGATTCAGGAATTTTGAGAAGGTATGTTTTTAATAATTTTAGCAAAAAAAAAATTTCCTGAATTCATTGTTGAAAATAAGTTTTTAATCATAATTTTAGACTAATGAATTGGGCCAAGATGATCTAAGTATTTTGACCATCTGACTTCATATAATGTTTTCTCAGAAAACTGTTTTCATAGAAGGTGAGCGGTTGAGATAGTACATATCAAGAGGACGTGTTTGTTATTGTCCACAGGGAAAGCCATGTATTTAACATATTTTCTGAAAGGCCTGGATGTAACTGAGAATAAGGACATCTGCATGTTTGTTGGTTTTACGGTTATGGAGAAAGGCTTATTTTGTCAAGTATTAACATACTTTTAAAATCTGCTGCTAGACCTTATTCAGATTTTTCAAAGGCTTTTTGGGAATTTACCTATCCATTTTACATGTGGTAGACAAGAACTGAAACCTAAACCTCTGGATACCTTTGAGAATCTCAACAGTGCTGCTTTGAACAAATACAGAGTTTACATTTGGTGAATGAAGAACTGATGATTGCCATATGTACATCATCATGCTATTAAAAGTTTGTTAAACGCAGCAGGTCTAGAAGTTAAATGCAATTCTTAACCTAATAAAGGTGTGACAAACTCAGCAGGATGATGTGGGAGTCCAGTAAACATTTTTAATGCATACAGGTGTGACAGCTACTAGAACAGCAATTGCTTCGCAGTCATTGGCAACTTTAGAATGACTACTTTTTTGCCAAGGCTTTTAAAAAGTTTTGTCAAAGTTTTAAAAGTCACAGAATAAGAGATATATTAGTTCAATGAGGCTCTGTGTTATGTAGTCGAATGCCATCTTTTTCTCCTTTACTCCTTAGTGTGTCATTTAACAATAGGTACAAACACAGGTGTGCGTGTGTAACAGATCTAAGGTTAAATCCAAAATGAAGTTATGAATGCCTTCAGCAGCTATGTGGCTGGTCATGCACAAATGGAAATTCAGGGCTGGCAGGTTGGTAGGTATTCCTGTACTGTTTTTCTTTCAAGGAGGATGTGTTTCCATATACATGCTGCAAGGAGGAAGCTGCATCAGTGGGATGGTGTGGCTGGAGCTCGGGTTTCTTTCTTACACTTCCCAAGTTGTGCAATGCGGGAATGAACCCTCTTGTGTTGCTGGTGCTGTGTAATGCTGATTTTCCTCAATGTAGAGACAGAGGGAGTGACTAGAGAGAGGAAACATGGACGTGAATAAGGGAAGGACTTGAATAAGTTTAAGCTGTGTAAGTTGTTGAACAATTATAGTCAAGGTGTTCCCCTTGGTGCACTTAAACTGGGCTAATCACAATTAGGCAGTGATTCTTCTCGTAAACAAAGGTCAGAGTTCAGAGTCCTAAGTGAAGCCCTGCTAATTTTCATCCTTAAAACCCCTTTTTCTTTGCTATGATAGTGTTGTGGGATTTTGTTGGGTTTTTTGTTTGGTTTTTTGTTTGTTTGTTTGTTTTTTAAACAGATTGCAAAAAGGTGCAGTGGATATTGCTATCTCTTACTGTTAATTTTGTTTATTAAAGCTAAATTTCAGCTGATAAATTCTCGCGCTTTTATTTTCTCTCCCAGGTTGCTTTTGTTATGCATTGTGACTCATCTGCAGTTCTTGCACTATCTTAAGCTTATGTTTTCTAATTCAGTTGCTCATTTTACCTACAGGTGATGCTTTCCCACTCAGCATCAGCTGTGAGTAAAACAGTTTAGAAACTTGAGTATAGTTTCCTAATAATCACTGTATAGGTGATGTAGGCACACTGGGCCTTAGTAATTATAATAGTGCTTAGGATAGTAGACATGAAGGAAGATGAGCACTCTTCTGGAACTTTAGATGGAAGCAGTTGCCCAAATACTTTACAGGAAGCAACTTATTTTGAAGCATTTAAATTCTTTCTGAAAGACGGAAATTATAATTGCAATACATTTTTATTTCTTAGATCCATGAAGGCATCAGAATTTGGGGAATGTACTTTCACCAATGCCAGTTAAATGAAAAAAATATTCTAAACAAACATCTCTCCAGTGCCAACATGTACAGTTCTTTGAGCCAATTTCATAAAAGTTGGATTGTTCACCATAAAGAGAATGTAATTGTCCAAAATGCTATCCATTCATTAATTTTAAGAAATCTGATTTGGTTTTAGTTCTTGATGAACCAGTAGGCACAATAAATTTTCTCCTTCAAGTTTTATAGAGTCTATTATGAACTGAAAATTATTCCAACTTCACATTCTTCAAAGCTTACTTAGAAGGTAATATTGTGAGTTCATCCAAATAAAAAAATGAGTTTCTGAGGTGCTCCTGGACTACTTAAAAAGTAGACTTAAGCTAAATAAGTACTTGAATATCATTAGTCTATGTATTGAATAAATTTTAAAAGAATTGAAGAAAACAAGACAGTTTGTGTAGATGTTTATTTAAACAGTGTACCTGGTATCTTAGGATTGCATTGGTGTAATATTTAAAATATCACTTGTCAGAGTTGAATATGTGTAGAGATTTACATTTTTTGTTTAAATGTATTTTTTGAAAATTTCATTAGGTAAATGCACATTAAGAAGTGCTGATATTTCAGACACTGTACAACATAATGTATTTGGCCATAGGAGGCCTTTTGTTTCATTCCCAAAGTCAAATGGTAACTGTACAAACTACAGATACTACAAACTACAATAATGTGCATTGTTTAAAATACATCTAAATTGATGTATTAGGTGAATGTCTTCAGTGCCTCAAACACAGAGGGCACCATTTTGCATCTTTAGAAGTTTAACTAAATCTTAGTCTCAGCATGGTAGCTGATGTTGAGTATCTGAGTACTTAAAAATGTTATTCTTTCTTAATCTCAGGTTGTTAGCCTGTATTAAGTGCCTAAATACTTAAAATGTTTTTTTCTCCCCACTTTTCTTCATTGTAATCTGTTGTTAAAGTAACTTAAAAGATTTATTTTTTTTAAAGATGGTTTTGTTATTTCCCTATATGCTTTCTCACTTCTTGTCTAAAACCAATATTTTTAATATGTAAATGGGAGAAAACCCACATAGAACACAACATGAATATAGAGAGTATAATAGTGTTCTTTTAAGGTAAAAAAATGCCTTTTTATTTTTTAATTTCAGTGCGATCGTTGTTTGCCATTGTACAATGACAAGCCTTTTCGTCCAGGTGACCAAGTTGATGCCTATAATTGCAAACCTTGTCAATGTTATGGCCATTCAGTAAGCTGCCACTATGACTTAGCGATGGACCCTGTTCCTCAGGAACACTACAGCGGCAGCGGTGGAGTGTGTGATAACTGTCAACACAACACAACTGGTAAGTCGTATGAAACAGTCACTTTTTGGCTAAGTCTTGTATCAGCTGAAATTAGTAATGCTCGATGGCTGGCATTCCAATAAATTCTCATGTGTATGTATTTTTAAATTATCCAGATAGTCCAGTAATTATGTGATCCAATCTTGTATAAAATCTACCATGCAAAGCACATTCTAATAAGTAATTAGAATGTATAGTTTCAAAGCTGTTTCCATTACATGTGCTAGAGCATTTAAATCCAGAATATCAAGATTTCCTAACTGAGCCAGTTTAACAGGTCACATATTAAAAATGTTGTCAAATTTGCTGTAATGTAATTTTCTTGCTTATGGAGTAAAGAATTCTATTCTGTGTAAGTAGTATATTCAAAAACTTTTTAAACAATTTTCTCCTATTATGGTTTTCTCGTCTTTGTGTGGTAAAGGGAAAAAGGAAAAGTTTCAGGTTCAGTGATAATTTTTCCAAAAAATGTATAGGCATTTGCATGGCACAGCTTTTATATAAGTGTGGTATTATATAACAGATGGAAGTTTAATGGAGTAAAACATAGTTTGTAACAGGTTCATTGTTTCATATGCTCTGGATCACTAAATTGGCAGGTAGAGATGAAAGGTGCATTAAAATGGACGTCCTGAAAATTATAGAATTCTCTCAAAGGAATAGAGTCTTTAATTTTGAATTATACAGCTAATTTTAATGAATTGGAAGCCATAATGCATAACCTTTCTTTCATGCAGGAAGGAACTGTGAGCTGTGCAAGGATTTCCATTACAGACAAGCAGGTGCAGATCTTTCAGCCATCGATGTCTGCAAACCCTGTGACTGTTATGCAACAGGCACCAAAAATAACAGCCTCTTGTGTGACAATGTAAGTAGCCTCAATGCAGAAAAATAACAAAACATTTTAATCAGCTGGGTAGGCAGCAGTAAGATTTTTGCAAAGTGTATTTAGATGGTACCTACTTTATTGAAAAATGCTTAAGTTCAGCTTTTTCAAAATGACAATTGAATTACATCAGAGGCTGAAAGCCAAAAAAACACAGAAAGCAATTTGAGACAAACTGTTGAAGAGTTCTTCATCTAGGTCAGCAACAGGCATAAAAGATGCTGTATGAATTTTCAGAAGTGAATAGTGGGGATATTAGCAGCTACTCTGTGCATTCAGTAATGTTACAACATCCAGGTTTTGAGTGGTTTTGGAGGTCTTGTTGCTGTCTTAAAATTACTAACAGATTTTGAAAATTTGGGCAATAAGCTGAGCCTGAAATTGAACTGAAATTAAGCTAGTTTTCCCTGTAACAAGACAAGGATTGATCTCCCTTTTAATTCATAAAGTCAATTAAAAAAAAAAAAAACCAACAAACCCACAAAGTTATACTGAGAAGAGAACACCATCAGCTATGCCTTTTAAGCCTATAGTCCTCAATGTCATGCAAGATGTGTAGTCTGATAGTATCTGTAACTTTCAAAACATGCATATCATATAAAAGCAGGAAAAGAGACTGAAGTTTTGAACATATATTAAAGATATATTGTGTTTAATGCTCTATTCACACGTCCTGTCCATTGCCAAAATCCGAATTTTGTTAGGAATAGGGAAGAAATAGCTTCTTTGTCTGAAATGTATTTTAAAAACATTTTAAATGTAGAACTTATTCTTTAGGGAATTGAGATAGAACTTCTTCAGCTTGTTGCCACATTTTCTGTCTCTTCTTTTTTACAAACTTTTTTCATAAAATTCTTCAGCTTGTTGCCACATTTTCTGTCTCTTTTTACAAACTTTTTTCATAAAACGGTGTCTAGCATTTTTCATATGATGTCTCTTGTTATTGCATTTTATTAACAGTGAGGTCTTGTGCATCTTGTTGTATTTTCATCCTTGGTTCTATAGTGTTACAAATAGATGCCCAGTTTGTCTAAGTGTGCACCTTTGCAAGACTTGTGCATGGGTGCATATGCTGAGTGATATGCAAATTTAGAATAATACGTTTTTTTTTAATAATCCCCTGTAGTACAAATAAAAATTAATTTATAAATTTCTGTCTTCTGAAGATGGTACTTCTTGACAGTATCATAGAAATGGAAAAAAACTTGAAAAACACAGATACCATGTTAGGACTATTTTTTAAGGTATAGGAAAAATTAAAGGAACTTCTGTCTTCTGAAGATGGTACTTCTTGACAGCATCATAGAAATGGAAATAAACTTCAAAAACACAGATACCATGTTAGGACTATTTATTAAGGTATAGGAAAAATTAAAGGAAATGCAGATTTGCATGTCCATGGTTTGTGGTGAAATGTTAAACAAAAACAACTTTAGTTGTGATTAATAGATAGAGGAAGAGTAGTTCACAGAAATCACTGCTTTATAGTGAAGTATACAAGAATGTTGATGAAGTTTGTCTATGGAAGTATAAATGGGGAGATAAAATGGGAAAAATGGGGGAGACTGTGTTGCTCTATAAAGCATCAGTTGACTGCTGTAGAAGCAGAGCAGGGAAAAATGATTAAGAGGCATTAAAGAACAGATTAATAAGGCTAGGGACTAAAGGCTGAAATGAATTACATGAAATAGGAAGGCATCATTGAAGGAAGTGTTTCCAAATTTGACCTGTGGAAGATGGAATCATAAGGAATAAGGACCCTACTCATGAAAAATAATTGTCACATCACTATGATAATTTTCAAGGAAATTTGCCAAAAATGGGGTGCAATACACTTTTACTGCATAACTTACCATTTTCTGCAGTTCATAAATATTTTTTTCTTTCTGAAAAGTGCCAGTTGTGTCACTAAGTTCCAAAAGTTACAAAGTTCCAAAATCAATTCATTGAATCACAAATTAATCTATTGAATCACATAGAATAATTACTCATCAAATGAATTATTATTAATATAGATAACTTACAGAATGGGTAGAGAGCTTACTGTGTCATGGTTACACTTATCTGCATTCTTTGGACTGATCATTAAAACTTTATGCCTCTTCTGTTCACCTATTTCACTCTACCCTTGGTGAGAAATCCATATAGGTGTGTAGCATTTCTCCTTTGCATAGGTTCTCAGTTCTTGGACATCTGCAGGTCATGCCTGCCTACAGATCAGTGTGTAACTTTGTGTTTTAAAGTGCAAACTAACATACTCAAAGCTTCAAAATTATAACTTTATGGCTTATAGTAATGAGTGGGATTTTAGAGGAGTGGTGCAGCAGTACATCCCTGAGCAGTTCATCGGATCCTTTTTTGCAGAGTTCTTCCCTTGAGATTGGTGGGTGCAAGAAAGAGAATTGCTACAGCCTGAGAAAATGTGTCCAATTTTGTGTTGGTTATTGACATCTAATCAGTGTAGAAAAGATATGCATTGGTTGTATACTCTTTGTGAACATTGTCACAAAATATTTCAAATGATCACAAAGTCCAGATAAATTATTTGAGGTGCCTGAATTTTATGGGAGTGAAAGAAGAATTGTCTGCCTTCTTCCCTTCTCCCTAACCATTCACATGCAAGAAAATTCTGCCAGAATACTGCTGATGTAATCATTCTTGCTCTGTATGGATAGCTGGAGATTTATTTCTTCTGGCCCTTATGCTACAATCCTTGACTCGTTTTTCTGTGCTTCTTTTTACTTGGACTGGTCTAGAAATGCTTAGATATTCAAACAGGCACAGCAGTTTGTATTCCTTTCGTGATTCTAATATAATATGCCACATATGAAAGTGTGGGGAAAAAAAAAACAAAAAACCACTCTCTTCCAGGGCATTTGTTTCTAGGCAAAGCTGAAAGGTCTTTGGAAGTACCATTCTGGTCTCAGTGAATTTAGGCATCTTTATTTACACAGCTTTTTCTGAGTTTTAAAAATTTACTCTTAACATGCAAATAAATATGTATCATATACTTATTGATGCAAAGAAGCTGTACTTTACTACAGAGGATATTGTTGAGAGTCACAAAGACTTAATTGCCTTCTGTCAGTGTGGCAGCTGTATTGTCTTGGGTTGCAAGAAAACTCTAAGGCATGAAGATGAACAAAATGTTAGTTACTGTTTTCTCTGAGGAGTCAAATGGAAACAGATTCCAGTGCTACCAATTAAGCTTTTGAAAAGACTTCAGATTTTATCTTTCTGTACACTCCCTAAATATTTCTCTTTTGAATTTATTCCTTTTTCCCTCAGAATTTTGAATGTTTGATTTCATTTTTTTTATACATAATGAAAAAGCTAGGTAGTAGCTGTCTATGTATATGTTTTAAACCAAAGTAGAATCTTTATTTCTGATAATTTTACTGTGTTGATAAATTCTTTGATCTAAAATTAGAATAAGCACTCCCCTGTTCTCATTTTTCCATCTACACAGTTTTCAACCCATTTATTGTGATTGACAATAAATAAATAACTGGAATATGTGTTACAAGGGAAAGAACATAGGTAAAGCAGTTAATTAAGGGCATTTCAGTCAAGAGATATATCAACTAGAATAAAGAATATAAAGGATGCAAACGTGTCAATGCTTGTCCATAGTGGATTCCATAAAAAATCAAGTTATAAAACACTGTGTAGTCTGAATCCTGGATTTCCCTTCATGAAAGACCTTTAATCTTATTGCTAAAATGAAGGAAAATGAGCTTTTCATGTTAAATAATTCCATGGCTTCCTTTCTGATGTGTTTTGTACCATGGAAATGCTGGTTTTCTGTGATAGTCTGTCAAGTTATTTTGGGGATTTGGTCCACTCCCACCCTTTGGAGTATCATGGGCAGAGAGTAAACACTTCATTTTACATTTTGAGCAGAAGTAGTAGAAAGCTACTGACTTTTGAAAGTCATTATATGGGATGACAGGAAGAGATAGCAGAGGAGTGAAAAGGAACTTCATTATTGCTGCTTATTCAATTTTCAGTTCCCAAAGCTGACATACTGAGAATACTCTCAGGTATTTGGTGATCAGACCATTAACCTATGTGTGTGAGCCAGCACACCTTACACTTCTCATTTCCTAAACTGAAGAAAAGTGAAAGATAATAAAAGTCCTCAACCCTCTTGCTCTTCCTGAGATTGCAGTCAACTGGATGCTGGGGTTCTTGCCAGATTTGCATCAAGTAAGAAGATAGTGAGAAGTGTATGATTAGCGTTTATATCAAAAAGGCGGAACATCAAGATGGGTACAAATCAATTGCAAAGCCAGCAATAGCAGGATGAACAGAAAGAATTTAATGCAGGAACTAAATATACCCATGGGCCTTAAAATGTGAGTTTTAGGGTATTGCCAGCTGGTCAAGGGAAGGTGTTTCTGTCCCGGTAGAGAGCAAATAATGGAAATTAGTAATGACTCGGGCAACTGCAAAAGGCTTTTGTCATCTGTTTTGGGCTTCAAATCCAGAAGTTAACTTTGGTAAATGAAACTTGGAAAGTGTCAGCTTTAGTTTTTATTTAGTAATGTCAACCCATGTCTCATAGTTATTCTCCAGAAGTGGAGAGAGTTTTTGATTACATTTCTGGCAATATGTTTCTTATATTACAGACACCAAAGAATAGCTATTTGAAATTACAGGGATATTCAAGGAGAAAAAGATGGTTTAAACTTTCAGAAAGGCTTAGGCTAGCTATTTTTTTTTTCCAGCAAATTCAATTTTATACTTTATGAATACATATGGTCAACAAGATTTTAAAGCAGTCAGAAGATGAGAGACCATGATATGTACATGTTGAATACCTACTAGATGAGTGCTATGACTAAACAGTTCACTGCACCCTGAACAATAATTAAAACAATTCTTTGGAATATGTCACCCTTTGTCCTGGGTACTTAAATCTCTTCTTAAGTCCCTGTATCAGTTTAGTAACTGGACACTGGGAAGGTTACTGAACAGGC